CGACCTGACCAACAACAGAAACGACTACCAGCTCTCCGACGCCAACCAGTCCCCACTCATAAGGAGGAAGAACCCTTTGTGAAGGTGTTCTTCCAAGTTTTGCAGTGCCTCCATCATTTGGCAATCCTTACCCTTCAAACGCAAAGTCTCTGAGTTGGATAGTTTTATCCGTCCGGCAATGAAAACATCAGCTGTTGACTCGAATATTAGGTTCCTCAATCGGACATGGCTCTCTAAGGTTACGCAGGTCCTGATCGACCATTACCAAACCACACTTCAAGACCACCACCATTCGTACCAAGTCTTTATCATCACCTGCCGTCGACCGCATCATTTCTCATGCCCTGTCCTGGGCCCGTCGCTCCTATGGGAAACGTCTCACTCAAGCTGTAATCACCAAGTTCTACCAAACAATCAACGAAACAAAAACCAGAGTAACCATATCTCTACCAACTGAAATGGACACTACACCGGCACCATCTAGAGCCACGACGCTGCCGAACCAAACCCCTAAACGAGCCCGAAGCTCACCTACTCCTAGTCCAGCAGACATAAGTAAACGCTCTCGTAGAAAGGGCACTCCCCTTCTCTTTTCACTTTCAGACTCGTCTTCCCCTTCCACACCATTTGAATCTTCACCACCTTAAATATTCTAGTTCCATAGTCATGAAGTCATCAAAGGACCTAAAAAATCATAACTACCATCCATCATCCATACCGCCATCCATTCTGAAATATTGAAAGCATTTGCTAGTATGAATAGTCAAACAGTGAACCTTTCCATAACACACGAAAAGCCTAATCTCACACGAGTGGAACGTGAAGCGTTAAACTTACTAAAGAAAGACGATAGCATTGTTATTAAAAAGAGTGACAAAGGTTCATGTTGTGTCATTCTGAATAGGGAGGATTACGTTTCAGAAGCAGAGAATCAACTGAATAATCCTAAACATTATGCCATTTTACCGAAACCAATTTTCAAAGAAACTGCTAACATGATTAACAATATTCTTGCCGATTTAGTCAAAACTAGTTATCTCAAACAGAAACAATATGACTATCTGTCTGCCAAACCTGATTTTCGCGAGAGACATTTGCACACTTTGCCTAAAATCCATAAGAATCCAACCAAGGAGTGGTTTATCTCGAATAAAATCCCTAAAGGCCGCCCGAGTATATCTGACTGTGGTAGTGAGTCATATGCAGTGTCAGAATACATTGATCATTTCTTACTACCTCTAGCATGTCAACATCGCGCCTACCTTAAAGATACAACCGAGTTTGTCAATAAAATAAAAAATCTTCGAGTTCCCCTCTAATAATATTTTAATTTCTATCGACGTTTCTCCTATGTATACCAATATCGATAACACTACTGGTTTAACGGCAGTTCGTAAAGCTTTTAATAGAAACCCAGATCCAAACAGACCCGACGATGCAATTCTACAGCTTTTAGAGATTTGTCTTAGTCGAAACGATTTCACATTTAATGGTAAAACATATTTACAAACTTCAGGGACAGCAATGGGCAAACGATTCGCCCCTTCGTACGCAAACCTTTTCATGGCAGAGTGGGAACGTGAGGTGTTGCCCCTCTGTCCATTTGACCCACTTTTTTACGGACGCTTTTTGGATGACATTTTTATGGTTTGGACTTATTCTATCGAACAGTTTTGGGAATTCTTTGAAATTCTCAACAACCACCATCCTTCTATGAAACTAACCGCAAACGTGAGTGACAAAAATCGGCTAATTATATTAACCTTGCTGTCAACCCCAAAAGAAATCAAAGTTTAAGTTGTTTTAAAGACACCCTCCCTTTTATATTTCTTAAAAATGTTTTATGGCGAGTTATGGTATGTAATTAATAAGCTCTCGAGTGGATTGAACCATATTATACTGTAATTTGAGCTCACGGCAGCATATTAAAGGTATACTCCCACTTATTTCTTATCCAAATTTCATAAAATGTGTATAATCAAATTCTAAATTTGATGGATATATCCAATTTGCATAGTGCGCATGCGCATTATAAACTTTCTTATTTCTTATCCGAATTTCATCAATTTTGATATGTATGTGTATAACCCAATTCTAAATTTGATGGAAATATTGAATTTTTGTTGTACGCATGCACATAGGATCAAGGATACATTCATTCAAGTGTTTACTCACCGATATCATTCTATATTCTGGACGTTTAATTTGTGACTTATGAACCCTAACCCTCTCTCTCAAATATTTCGTCTGTCCGTCCGATGTACTGCTCCTTACAACCAGGACACATTATTACATAGATAACATTTCGGGAAGCACATGTTAAATTGGCTTAATTGAAAGGTCCCATGTTTCCTGAATTCTATGCTGTGTCCCTCAATAATGTCACAGGTACCACAATTTACCATTACCAACCTTCTTATTTCTTGTCCGAATTTCATAAAACTTGGAATGTATATGTATAACCCAATTCTAAATTTTATTGAATTATTGTTTTGCGCATTACCAACTTTCTTATTTCTCATCCGAATTTCACCAAACTTGATAATTATGTATGTGTATAATCCAATTCTATATTTGTTGGAAACTTATTTCTTATCCGAATTTCATCAAACTTGGTATGTATGTGTATTATCCGATTCTAAATTTGATGGAAATATGCTGTGCGCATGTGCATTATCACCTATCTTATTTCTTTTCCGATTTCATAAAATTTGGTACGTATGTGTATTACCCAATTCTAAATTTGATGGAAATATTGAATTTTTGTTGTGCGCATGCTCATTACCAGCTTTCTCATTTATTATCCGAATTTCATCAAACTTCGTATGTATGTGTATTATCCGATTCTAAATTTAATGGAAATATGCTGTGCGCATGTGCATTATCACCTATCTTATTTCTTTTCCGATTTCATAAAATTTGGTACGTATGTGTATTACCCAATTCTAAATTTGATGGAAATATTGAATATTTGTTGTGCGCATGCTCATTACCAGCTTTCTTATTTCTTATCCGAATTTCATCAAATTTGGTCTTTATTAAAACATTATTTTATTCCTAGTCAATAAACTTTAAGCTACACGCACTTTTGCATATTTGCATTTTGAGATGTAGAAAAGTATTTACATCAATGTAATTCCAATAGACCATCTTCGTATGTACCTGAATGTCGTAACACGCCGTGCATCAGTACTGTTATTAGAACAGTTCTTGTTTTTTACACACTTTCCTGTGCTTTGACTACAATTGTTGCAGCAACAATTCAACATTCACGGACCATAGATATAGGCAACAATGTGCATAAATATAAAATGAAACTTTTTTGCAAAACCGTAAGTGCCACAGTCCAATATGTGCAAAAATAGAAAATCTGCTCAAGAAGTCGCATTTTTGGGTCGATTTTCTTTGGGTTTGCATTCTTGGAATCTACTTGCAATATCTGATATGATAACAGTTAAATTTTGTCGAAATTCGAAAATTTGTTGCACACTTTTTTCAGTTGAATAAATGCTTTATTGCATTAGCATATACATGTACATAACATAATGCTTAAGCATATATACATAATAATATACAAGTGGTTGTGTTTAGAAATGGTGGAATCCTCCGTAATTATGAAACTTTTAATTATAAAGGTAATAAGATAGTGTGTCATAGTATAATTATCTTGGGATACTGTTTTCGTCAAGGTTAATCTGTGATAAAGCTGTGTACAGTTTATCAGTGAAGGCTCGAAAATCATTACTTCCAATACAGGCTTTACTACAGAAGACCGAACCCAATATCTATTAGTTTTAAGATTTTTGGTTGTATTGTTAAACCGGTTTTATTATACGGTGCAGAAGTATGGGGATATGAATATAGAAAAGACATAGAAGTTGTTCAGTCACAGTTTTGCAAACGTTCCCTTCAAATTCACAAGAGCAGTTCCTCAGCTGGTGCAACTAGAGAGTGCGGTCGTTACGAACTGGCCGTATGTTATATGCTAAAAGTCATCAAATATTGGATACGACTCATAAGCTTAGATTATAGTAGATTACCAAGTCAAGTGTATTGTATGTTAAAGAGGCTCGATTCTGTTGGTAGGATAACCTGGGTCACCAAAGTTAGATTATTATTAAGCTCCATTGGCTTTGGATATGCTTGGCATTTTCAGGAAGTTGGCAATTCTGCATATTTTCTTAACACTGTCAAATTACGCCTTATTGATATCAACATTCAAAAATGGTCCGAACAGATTCATAAAAGCGAGAGCCTTAAGGAGTATTGTTTGTTTAAATTAAACTTAAATCAAGAATCCTACTTGTCGGATAACCTACATCAACATGTTAACAGAAATATAACACTGTTAAGATTAAATCTATTTCCGGTTTTTGCAAATTTGAATAGAAGGAATCCCAATATTAAACCAAACTTCTTTTTGTCATATGCTAAATGAAGATATTTTTCATGTATTTTATGAATGTTATTTATATGAAGATTTAAGATCTGAATATATCCCTGAAAAATTTAAACTATCATATCCATGTCATAGAAAATTTCATAAACTGTGTAGTACTCAAGAAACGTCAACACTAATCTCAATTTCGATTTATATGGACAAATGTATGGCACTCAGAAAGTCATTACTGTGATTAATTATGCTAATCTTATTGTAAATATAGATTATCTAATATAATATGTTTCATTATTTTATTCCCTAATATAAGATTTCATTTACGTGTATATAAGATTCCATTTATACTTATTCAAGATTTCGTTTATATTTATTCAAGATTCCGTTTATATTTATTAAAGATTCTGTTTATAATTATTCAAGATTTTATGTACATGTAGATTATATATTTATTTGTATCTATTGGTCATATGGCCTGATTACCGAATAAACATTATTATTATAATAACACCTTTTGTGTTTAATTTTTGATTATATCACTTTTATGAATAAAAAATAGTCAAATTCTTAGACATAAATTACATTTTACATGTAAGCACTATGTTTAACAGTCATCATCTGAATCTTCTGTATCTTGTACTGCTGGAGATGGTAAGAGATCCTTAGATCTTCCAGATGTTGGTAGCGATCTATACCAGTGTTGTATCTCAACTGGAATTACCATATGGTCACACAATTTAACAAGATCATTCTTCTTTGCTTCACTAGGGGTTTCGAAGGAGTAAGCTTTTGGTAGTTTGATGATTGAATGACCACCGCGACCAAAGACATTAATTTGCTTATACTCTTCACCGTAATTGTATTTGTATAGTACTACACCTGGTTGATTTTTTTGATATCTGAACGATTTAACCAGCAGCCAATTTACTATATTTCCATCTACGTCACGTTTCCTGTTCTTCATTAGCTGTTGGGTAACATCTTGAAAATTGTAAATGTCGTTATATCTTAGATTAACAACATTGTAAGGTCTTTTACGTCTGGCTTTTTTAAAGACTGAAACCCAATCTAGCATCGTGAAAAGATCCAGGTTGCGTTTTTTAGATTCTATTGCAGAATGCATGCTATCGCATTCCATGTAGCTGTGCCCACTCTCTAGACAATTGTGGGAAATGACTTCTAAAGGAGTGGACTGCACTGCATGTACAAACATTGCTGCTACATTTTGATTCCGGTTTTGACCTCCGCATGTATCTGAAAAAAGAGATACCTCTCTAATATTACTCGGTAGATCTGATAACCAATTGTAAATAGCGGTTCCAATCTCATTGCTTCCACGCCCAGCTTGAACTTCGTTCCAGCAGTAGCAAAATGCATCGTTAGGTTTGGCTGCATTATAAATACAGAGATTGTATAGACTAAGCTTTCTACTGTAATGGAGGAGTGATGCATTGGTATTTGGTAGCTGAAGAACGCTTTGAAGATCAAACGAAGCAGAGATGAAATTTGAATCTTTTGTAGCTCTTAATTTATCTGAAGACTTTGCAGCTTGAGCTTCTTTACTGCGTTGGAGATGAGCCTGGTATTCCTCCTCAAAATTACGTTATCAATGCCTGTTAAGATTTTATGTTTTGAACATTTCATGCATTGATCTTTTTTGGGGTGAAAGAAGGAAAGGTTGTATTCAGTACAAAATAATCTTCTGTATGTTAATTCTTCTACAGGATTTGTTTTTGGTGATACTAATTGATCACAATGCAATTTATACAACTGGTACATCTTACTTATACTCAGATCTTGGTTTAAGTATTGGCGATGGGTATCACTTCTGGTGTAGTGTGATTCAATCTTCGGAAAACTTTCTATATGCTTGCGAACTAAATCTAATCGTTCCTCGCTAGTCTTGTTACTCGGTGTATGCGGACCCCTTTTATCTTCACCAACAAAGGTACCAGCCTCGCCCTTCTCAGCCAAAGCTGTATAAACTGGACCAGAGCTAACACATAATGTAGCTAGGAAAAACCTTTTGCAAACTTTGACATGCAAACCATCGGGTTTTATGAAGAAATATGAAATTGTGTGTTTTCTTTTACGTTTACGTTCTGCAGACCTTGGCCTTTCACGCTCTATTCCATATGCTTTAGTTCTTGACAATATGACATCTTTCTGTCGTTTGTAATCTCCCAGATTCCAATACTCCTGGCATATCTCTACCCTATCTTCTTCATTGAAATTTTCAAAACACTTGAATCTGCATTTGGAACAATTAACTTGCTTGGGTGCTTTCTGTTTTTTTTATGTTTACCTGAAGTATCTATGTGTTCTTTCCCATTCTTATATAGGCGTTTTCTAACATTTTTCTTCCACCGAATAGGGTTTGAAGTTTTCCATCTTGTATGTTTATTGTCATCAGAAGATGACGCTTCCCCAGTTTCTGTTTCGTAAGACGGATCATTATGTGTATCATCAAAATCGGATTCCTCTATCATTTCTAATACCATGGATGTATGAGATTTTTATCTGAAAAGAACAGAAATAAATTTTTGACAAGATAGCCTTGAAGTTAGTTTGAAATCTAAATACACATGTTTGATTCAATAATGAAAGGTTTAAGACCAAAATTCACAAGTCTTCACTTTTTATCATGCAAAGTTAATTATGTCCAGAATGGCATTTCAAAAAGTGCATTTAACTTGCGATCCATGTATGGAAGATGCATTTATTTTCTAACTAAAGGCAAGAAAATAAATCAAAGAATAAAATTACAAAATCTTACCTCTATGTGTTGCCATTGTGGTTTTGAAATTTGATTTAAATATTATTGGAAAAGGGGTTCAATCAAAAGAATCCGCCATTTTTGTTTGGACTTACCAATATTTTCTTGATAAATATGTACTGATCTTTACAGATATGTCTGACTTAATCACTTTTGCATAGCAAAATTTAGGAATATTTGGACATGATAATATTAAAAAGGTCAATGACACAATTAATTATTACATCAGGACTTAGATTTTTCTGTCAAAGATAGGCATCATATAAGGTATTTGTTTTATGGACATAACCCATTTTCACCAAAATTGGACATAACAAATTCTGGCAGTAAGCCCTCGATTTATCATTCATCTGATTATGTTTTTTTCAAGAAAGAAAAGAGTTGTTTTTTTAAATTTGCCAAAACATTGATTTTTTTAAGGATCGAGGTAAAGAGTTCTGGAATAAGGAATCTCTGGTTAATGAACGCATATGGCGTGTTTTTATATTGAAGAATATTTTGAAGATAAACTGGACAATTACGATTTTTTATTTTAAAGAGAAAAATGTATTTATTGACGTTTTTGAACTGTTAGAATATTCAATGATGTGGATAAGGTTTCATGGGAAGATGACAGAGGAGAAGGTTTCAGTACTGTTTTATTATTAATAAGCCTACAAGCCAATTTTTTAAGTCTATTAAGGGCTGCTAAAGAATAATTATTGCAGGTATCCCAAATGGTGGAGCAGTAATCAATGTGGGACTGAAAATGAGAAAAATAGAATAATTTAATAAGGTTTGAAGGAAGGAGAGGTTTAATCTTGTGCATTTGAAATAATTTCTGAATTAAAATTTTACAAATATAATTAACATGCTTATTCCAATTAAAATTTTGATCCAAAATAACACCCATAAGTTTAAATTCCGCGACATTTTGAATTTGAGAATAGAATAGTTGTAAAGAAAGATAATTTCCTGGAATTTTTAATTGATGATTTGAGCCAATTAACATAGTTTTTGTTTTCGATTGAGTTATAACCATAGAATTATTATTAGTTTAATGAGCAAATATCTAAAATTGATGAATACATTGTAGTATCATCAGCAAACAAATCACAGTTACACATAAAATGAAGTGGGCGATCATTTATAAAAAGATTTAATAACAAAAAAGATAGATCCTTGAGGTACACCAGAAGTTATACATTGAAATGTCGATTGGTGACCCGAACTCATGCGCGGAGGTTTTGAATCGAGACCTTGAAACTATAAATATTTGGTCAAAAACGTGGCTGGTTTCCTTTAACCCGCTGAAGACTGAAACACTCGCACTAACTACTAAACGAAACCTACCTCTTCCAACTTTAAAACTAAATGATACACCTATTCAGGAAGTTATTTTACATAAACATCTAGGGCTCACATTTAAACAAACTGTCAATGGGATAAACATAAACTTGTAAATTGTTTAAGATCCTTGAAACACCGTCTTAGCAGAAAATCTCTCCATACGATCTATACTTCTTTCATTTTTCCCTATTTTGACTATTGCGATATCATATGGGATGGGAGCACAGCAGAACTAACTACGAAATTAGAGAATATTCAACTCAGGACTATATGCGGTGCTGTGAGGGGACCGGTCACCTCTTGCTTTATAAAGAAACTGGATTTACAACCTTGCAGGAAAAGCGCATTCGGCACAAACGTATAATAATATACACAATTTTGAATAATCTTACTTCACCTTATTTATCAGACCTTATTGAATTTAAAATTGATAACTACAATCTCAGAAACAATGGACAACTTTTAGAATGTAACTGCAGAACCAACCTTTTTTATAATTCATTCATTCGATCATCCATCCGTGATTGGAATCAGATACTTGAAACCCAAAAATCTATCAATTCTATATCCGCTTTCAAATCTTCTCTCAAAATCAATGACCAAACAGTACCATCATACTTTTATTTAGGAACTCGAAAAAATCAATACTGCATTGCCGTTTGCGTCAATCAATACTGCATTGCCGTTTGCGTCTTTCCTGTAGTGATTTAAATGGCCACAAAGTTTTACGTCACGTTTCGGAACAACCTGCATGCGTTTGTGGTCACTATTTTGAGACGCCGAACATTACCTCATCTACTGCTCCTTACATTTGGATGCCCGAAACATTACTATCAATAAACTTCCATCAAAACTTATAAATTTAGATATCTTGCTTAATGTAACAGATTCTCAGCTTGAGTTTGAGGAAATTTTTAAAACTGTTCATAATTTCATTTCACTTTCAAAACGATTTTAAGTTATTATTTCTAAATTATTTTTACTAGTATGATCGATATTATTATTATTATTATCATTTTTCCTTTTTAAAGCAGCCTCACTTTTTCCATAGATGTTTTTGAAATGATTGTAAATACGTTTGAGTTACATATATATATATATTTATTTTCTTAAAAGTTATATTAACTTTGAAATATGGAGAGGGGTTATATAGGCATAAGCCTGTTCCCCAATCCATTTAATGTATTAATGTATAAATATTGTTTATAAAAAAAAAATGTCGATTGGTTTTGCCCAATGGAGGTACACTGGTTTCTGTTATGTTAAGGAGGTAGGATTCTAAAAAAGCCAGAAGATTATTCGAAAACTTATAGAATTTTAATTTTTGTAAAAGAATATTTTGATTTACCATGTCAAAAATCGAAAAATAACGCTTTTAAACCTTGATAAATAAGTCTACTCAGAGTTTCTTGAAATTTACCGCTTCAATAAAACTCCAAGGTATTAATACTCGTTGACGATTTTAGTTTTACAGAATTAATTTTGAAAGTGTAATCTACCTTACTATTACCTTTTCGGAAAACAACTATCTTTGTCTTATCCGCATTAATTTTTAAATGCCATGTATTGCAGTATGACTGGAATTTGTTTAAAAGTTTCTGTAACATAGAATCGGATAATACTGTTACATCTGAATAAATTGATCGAATGATGCTTACTATTTTTGTATTCGAATTTGGTTAATTTATAAAGAAGAGGTCACCTTCACCTTCTTCAAGTCAATGAAAGCACAGAATGACTTTCCGTTGTCATTTAAGACGGACGAGATTACTCCATGTAAAATAAAAATGGCATCTATTGTACTTTTACCTCTTTGAAATCCAAACTGAAATTCTGGAATCGTATTAGTTTCTTCAACCCAGTCATATAATCTCGAATTAATAATATGTGAGAATAATTTAGCAAAAACCGAACTTAAATTTATCCCCCTAAAATTATCAGGGTTATCAAGATTACCCTTTTTGGGAATAGGTGTGAGTATACCTTTCAGCCATGATTTAGGGTAATCATTATTATCTAGAATATAATTAAATATTTTGAGTAAAATTGGCATCAAAATAGGCGCACCATCTATGAATAAATTAGGCGGAAGATCATCCTTGCCTGAACTTTTACCACGTTTTAATTTCTTAATTGATTTCGAAATTTCCTGTTCAGAGATGGGGCAATTTAAAAGATGAAAACTATTCTCATTTCGGTTTGATTTTGAACCATTCTGATTCTGGATAGATTCAATTTCCGCGTTTTGTGAAGAGATAATTTACCCAATATTTTTCTAAAATGCTAATATAAGTGTTTTGTTTTAAGTTTTGTTACAGTTTTGCAAACAGTGCTTTTAAAGTACGACCAAAACTTTTTCGAGTTATTTTTGGCCAACTTACATACTTTCAACCGAAATGTTTTCCTATATTTGTATTTATTAACCTTTTTAAAACGATTATATTAATTAAAATTTGAAATTTTTAAGCTTGGTATGTATATCTTATGACCTATTTGATATAGAACCTTAAAATTTAGAACCCAACTAGACATTTTGAATATGAATTCACTTGTGACAAAAACATTGAGGTGGGTGTAAAGCGTCCGGGTTGAATTACTAATTGTTTACATTTAGGGGCTTAACTCGCATAGGATACATTTGTTCAAAAACGGACTTTGCACACAATCACCTCATCCTTTTGGCTGGTTTGTGTTAACAGCTCAGTTTTTTCAGCTATATAGTTCCAAAATACGGAACGGGTTTTAAAATTTCCTTTTTTTCAATGTTTGTTGACCTATATCTTGACTTGTATGATGTAGATGCTTAAAATTTGGAACATAACATTTTGAATATCAATTTATGTCAAATAAATGAGTTGGGCGTGGCAAATCCGGGTTAAATTACTCATTATTGACATTTTTGGCCAGGGGCATCTCTCGCAAACAATACATTTGTTAAAAAGGGACTTTGCACACAATTCAGTTGACCTTTTTAGGATCGAAGGTCATTGACCTTGGTTATAGATTGATACCTTCATAATAGTCCATTGACAGATTCCGTTTTAATAGCCGTATGCATTTTGAAATTCAATGACATACATCTCGTGACCTTGACCTTTGTTGACATTCCCCTTTACAAGGTCAGAGGTCGTTAACTGTGGCTATTCGCTGCTACTTTCATTTCTGATGTCTACTTCACATCCTTCCACCAAAGACAGAAAATGTCGTAACTTTATACAGTTCTAGCACGTGACCTAATTAACCTAGAAAGTCTCTTGCAATTGCCACAGTAGCAAAGTCCCACACTGTGCCATTTGTGGCTCTAGTTGTGGGACTTTGCTTTCAGCAAAGTCCCAGTTTGTTATCGAAATGTCAATTCTTTTTTTTTTTTTGTTTTTTTTTTTTTTTTCGAAATTTACACACCTTCCTGAGCTTAGACTACAATAGTTGCAGCAACCATTCAACATTCACGAACCTTAGATATAGGCGACGATGTGCATAAATATATTTTGGATCTTTATTGCAAAACCGGAAGTGCCACAGTTCAATATGTGCAAGAATAGGTAATCGGCTCTAGAAGTCGTATTTTTCGGTCGATTTTCTTTGGGTTTGCATTTTTGGAATCTACTGTTAAAATCTGAAAGAATAGCAGTTTTTAAAATTTCAAAATTCGAAAATTTGTCGCAGACATTTTTTGGCCGATTTTCGAAATTTTTGGACCATTTTTCAGTTTTTTTCGGATTAATCTGAAATTTTGATAAAAGATGCATGTCACTAATGTAAACCATTTGACGTATTCAAAATGTTTGCGTCACTTCCGGTTAAAGTGGAAAATCGATTTTCACTTCCGGTTGAATAACTTCCGGTGTGATTGAAATATTTCAACGAAATTATGTATATCGTTATTAATCTTAATTCTATGGCCGATTTGAAAATAAAATTTAGTCCGAAAAAAATACTTCGGCGGCCATCTTGATTTGATACTTTTTCATAAAACTCAAAATGGGGCTTCGGGGGAGAATGGGATGGGTCAAATTTTTATGTTGGTGTATACTTTAGTCGATGGCGACAAAAATGTTGGAAATGGATTTTTGAATTTGACTTTTGCTTTTTTGCAACTTCCGGTCGAATTTTTTCAATTTTTGAAGGCTTGTATCTCGTGACCTTGACCTTTGATGACCCTGACCTTTATAGGGTCAAAGGTCATTGACCTTGGCTATCATTTGATACTTTGACCTTTGACCCCAGATATCTACTTCCGGTTTTATAGCTATCCGTAAAAAGCCAAATTCGCAATTTTGGACTGCTCTAACACGTGACCTAATTAACCTAGAGGGTTAATTTTTTCGGTTTCCTAATGTTCTTCTCATGCACTTTACATAGATATAGAACAATTGCTTTTTTAAAGCAAAATTGAAATTCGTGATTTTTTCAAATTTGAGTTTTGTTTTACCATATTTGTGTCTTTTTGATCTTGGTGTATGTATATCTTATGACCTATTTTATGGAGAACCTTGATATTTGGAATACAACTAGACACTTTGAATATGAATTCACCTATGGCAAAAAAATTGGGGTGGGCGTGGCACATCCGGGTTGAATTACTAATTGTTTACATTTTGGGGCTGGGGCATAACTCGCATAGGATGCGTTTGTTCAAAAAGAGACTTTGCACACAATTACCTCATCCTTTTGGCCAGTTTGTGTTAACAGCTCAGTTGTTTCAGCTTTATAGTTCCAAAAAAGGAACGGGTTTTAACATTTGGATGTTTTCATTTTTCGATTTTGACCTTGGTTGACATTTGTTAACCTATATCTTTTGACTTGAATAATGTAGAAGCTTGAAACTTGAAACACAACATAACATTTGGAATATCAATTACCCTATTCAAAAAAATTAAGGTGGGCGTGGCACATCCGGGTAATATTACTCATTATTGATATTTTTGGCCAGGAGCATAACTCGCAAAGTATACGTTTGTTCAAAATGGAACTTTGCATACAATTATCTCATGAATTGAGCCACTTTGTCTTAGAAGTTCGGTTGTTTCCGCTTCTTAGCTCTAAAAAAGGAACAGGTTTTGGAAATTCAAAAATTTCAACTTTTGACATTAACCTTTGATGACCTTGACCTTTATTGGGTCAAAGGTCATTGACGTTGTCTATTAGTTTATGCTCTCATATTTGACCTCTGACGTTTACTTTCGTTTTTATAGCTGTCCAAAAACATCCAAATTCGCAACTTTGGACTGTTCTAGCACGTGACCTAATTAACCTAGAGAGTAAATTTTTTCGGTTTCCTAATGTGCTTCTCGTGTACTTTAAAAAGATATATAACAATCGTTTTTTTAAAGCAAAATTGAAATTCGTGATTTTTTCAAATCTTTTTTTTTACAATATTTGCGACTTTTTGAGATTAGTGTATGTATATGTTATGATCTATTTGATGTAGAACCTTGATATTTGGAATATAACTAGACACTTTGAATATGAATTCACCTATGACAAAAAAACTTGTGTGGGCGTGGTACATCCGGGTTGAATTACTAATTGTTTACATTTTGGGGCTGGGGAATAACTCGCATAGGATACGTTTGTTCAAAAAGGGACTTTTTACACAATTACCTCATATTTTGAGCCACTTTGTCTTAGAATTTTGGTTGTTTCCGCTTCATAGTTCAAAAAAAGGAACAGGTTTTGGAAATTCAAAATTTTCAATTTTTGACCTTGACCTTTGTTGACCTTGACCTTTGTAGGATCAAACGTCATTGGCATTGGCTATCTATTTATACTTTTATATTTGCTGTCCTATGTCAACTTCCGGTTTTATAGTCGTGTGCAATTTGAAATTTTAATGGCGTATATCTCTTGATCTTGACCTTTTTAGACCTTCTCCTTTACAGGATCAAAGGTCATTGACCTTGGCTATCTGCAGATACTTTCATTTGTGAGGTCTGACGTCCACTTCCGGTATTAGAATCTTCTAAAAAATGAAAATTTATCAACTTTACACTGTTCTTGCGCTTGATCTAATTATCGTCGAAGGTTGATTTTTTCAGGGTCTTTTGCATTTTGCAACATTTGCAAAGTCCCACTCTGTGCCATGTCCCAGTTTGTTATCGAAATGTCAATTCTTTTTTTTTTTTTTTTTTTTTTTTTCGTTTCGTCCACACCTTCCTGAGCTTAGACTGCAGTAGTTGCAGGTACGTTTCAAATTTCATAGACCTTCTATATAGGAGACGATGTGCATAAATATAAATTGGAACATTTTTGCAAAACCGGAAGTGCCACAGTTCAACATGTGCAAAAAGTCGAAAATCGGCTCTAGAAGGCGTATTTTTGCATCAATTTTCTTCGGGTTTTCATTTTTACAATCTACCTATAATTTCTGACCTGATAGCACTTGGAAAATTACGAAATTCGAAAATTCGTCGCTCACTTTTTTCGATCAAATTTTTCAATTTTTTTGCAACTTTTTTGCTTTTGCATCGATTGATCTGAAATTTAATATGCAAAGGGACATCACCAAAGCAAATAATAAGTAGTCGTCAAATATTTAATTTTACTTCCGGTTTTAAACGGGGAATCAATTGAAAGTACAATCCACTTCCGGTCGAATAACTTCCGGTGTAATTGAAATAGGTCAACGAAATTTATGCTGATCGTAAGTAAATGCTAATACAAAAAAACGAAAAAAATAAAATCCAGACCGGAAGTGATACTTTGGCCGCCATATTGAAAAAACACACTTTTGTAAAACTCAAAATGGGGCCTCAGGGTAAATGTTGATATGCTCAAATTTGATGTGAATGTATTCCGCAATCGATTGCGCAAAAAAACATTGGGAGCCGAATTTTGAATTTCGCTTTTGCTTTTTTGCAACTTCCGGTTGAAATTTTTTCATGCTTTAAACGATCACACCATGTGACCTTGACCTTTGATGACCTTGACCTTCATAGGGTCAAAGGTCATTGACCTTGACCTTTGACCTCCGACATGTACTTCCGGTTTTATAGCTATCCGTTAAAAGTCAAAATCGCAACTTTGGACTGCTCTAGCACGTGACCTAATTAACCTATAGGGTTAATATTTTCGGTTTCCTAATGTGCTTTTCATGCACTTAACATAGATATAGAACAATTGCTTTTTTAAAGCAAAATTGAAATTGGTGATTTTTTCAAATTT